TTTCATAATTATCACGTTGAACTAGTTCTAAGCATTTTTATACATCATGTTACTTTTGAACATGTTTGATTGTATTGAGTGAAAAACTTGTTTTGCCTTTTGTTTAACGATACGAATGTGGTAACACTCCCTTATTTCCCTTATATTATTGTTTTAGGAAAAAAAAATGGGGTGTTACAAGTTTGTATCAGAGCAAAGGTTTGAGTGATTCAAAGACACATTCGTGTGTATTTGAACTCAAACTAAATTTATAAAACAAAAACTTTAAAAAAAATTACAACAAAAGTTTTCTTGCAAATAGTTAATAGAACATTTGAAACCCTATTTGGATATTTTGAGGATAAACTCAACAAGAAAAATGTTTTCCAACGAAGAAACAATAAATGCGAGACGAGTAATCAAGCTAGCGCCGAGGGGGTAGTGAGTTCATACTATTGTTATACCCTTACACTTTTATGCTATGCTTATAGGATCATAGGTGGTTCTAGACATTTGCTAGACAACATAGATTGTTTCCAGAAAACAATCCTTGGTTTAACAAACCTCCTAATGAGACGTACTATTAATCCATAATAATCTAAGAACATCTTTAAAATACTCGGGATGTTATTAACTCTAATGTTATACCCCCCCGACTACTTACGAGAGCGGTGCCTAGAAAGGACATGTGGCTTGGTTGTTGGGTTTTACCAAAAGGTTTTATACCAAACGGGCCCTACCTCCCAATTGTACCTGTCTGGCCGTTTCTTTATTTGATAGTCATGTATGACATTGGGATTAATAATCAACTGAAACCACCCAACAAAACCAATTAGGTTAAGCTCAAACGACAAGGGTTTGGTGGGGAATGATGGGATTAAATATGTATAGGTTTCTATGTTAACGTTGGCCACGTTATCATAAAAACAGGATATATATTTAAGACTAGAGTAACCACCAAGAACTTTGGAATAAAATCTTAATCAATCAAAAAAACCAAAAGTAATCTGTAAGATACTTCCACCATTCAGTGGTAATCATCCGAAATCGGATTAAGATCTAAACTCAAACTCCTAACCAAATTCTTTCGCAACTTAGAAATGGCACCAACAACAAGAAGGTCCTCAAGGGAAAGCAATCAAGACCCTAACCTTAGGAGGGTGGTAATGTCTGAAGTTGGAGAGGCACTCCAAACTATGATTCCTGAATTGTTCGAACAAATGAAAGTCGAGCTGAAGATTGAGCTGGGCCAAATGAAGGATGAAAGGATCACTGCCTTGGGAGCAAATCACAACCAAGGACCGGGGAGAGCTAATGTTCTTCGAGACTTCATGGCCAGCAATCCGCCTAAGTTTAAGGGTCAGAAGGACCCTTTAGAAAGTACACGCTAGATAACTGACGTTAAAGGTGCATTCCGCACCAGCTTTTGCCCTGCAGCAAACCAAGTCCTCTATGCAACAACCCTATTGCAAGGAACTGCAAAAATTTGGTGGAATTTGACTTGCAAGACCATCCCTGAAAAGGAGTTGAATGCCATGACTTGGAATGACTTTAAAACAAAATTATCCGAGAAATTCACACCACAAATCGAGGTGGAACAGGTCACCAAGGAATTCCTCGACATGAAGCAAACGACCGAGTCGGTAAACGAAATCACTGATAAGTTCTTGGAAAAAGCCCTATTCTGCCCCCCAGTACGTTGCTGACGAAGCAATGAAGCTGTTTCGCTATACCAAGATGCTCAAACCAGAGATTAGAGCTTTTGTCGCCCCAGCAAGATGCAAGACTTTGGCAGAGGCTATAGAAATAGCATGAGCCCGAGAGCTAGACCTAGACAGAAAGAGAAAGACCACACCATCCCATGAGGTAACTGCATCTAACAAGAAATTCAAACCCTCTGAACCAAAGAACAAAAGCAAATCATCTAAATCAAGGTACAAAGAAAATTTTCCATTGTGTGAGAAGTGCAACAGACACCAGTATTGGAACTGCACCGACCTGGCATGTTAAAAATGTGGAGGTAAGGGACATTTGACTAGGGAATGCAAGGAAACAACAAAACTATGCTTTAATTGCAACAAGCTCGGGCACATAAGGGAAAATTGTCCCTAGCTATCGGGTAAACTAATGCAAACTCCTGCACCAACAACTCTAAGGATTGCAGGTGGAGCGTCAAGAAAGACCGAGGCTCCAAGTGCCCAAGGACGAGCATTCCAGATGTGGTAACAGGTACTTCCTCATCATATCTAAACATAATAAACTATTATAGGTTGCATACAAGTAGTAATTGATTGGATTATAGGTACTTTCCTTGTTAACTCCACACCAGCGCTAGTTCTATTCGATTCGGAAGCAAGTCACTCCTTTGTGTCTCTTGCATTCAGCAAAAATTTCCGACTTATTCTTGAACCACTAGACAAACCCCTAAACGTAGAGATCGCAGATGATAAAATGGTGAATGTGTCTGAAGTCTATAAAGATTGTAAGACAGAGCTCTGCAAGACGAGGTTCACTATAAATCTAATCCTTATCCCGATGAGAGAAATTAATGTGATCGTTGGCATGGACTGGCTAGGGGCACATGACGCTCACATCGGTTGCAAACTGCAACAAGTCCATCTTCAAAACCCAAGTGGGGGAGAACTGATTGTCCAAGGAGAAAGAAAGAAAGGAAGGACGCTTTTCTGTTCTGCAGCAAAAGCTCGAAAGCATTTACAACATGGTAACACCGGATTCCTCGTGTACGTTGTGGATAGTCGAGAAGAAAAATCGAAAATGAAAATTGTCGATGTTCCCGTAGTAAAAGAATTTCCCGATGTATTTCCGGAGGACCTACCCAGAATTCCTCCCCATCGGCAGGTTGAATTCAAAATCGACCTTATGCAAGGAGCAGCACCAATAGCTAAAGCACCTTATAGACTTGCACCACCCGAGATGCAAGAACTGTTTAACCAGCTTAAGGAACTTCTTGACAAGGGGTTCATCCGACCAAGCAACTCCCCATGGGGTGCACCTATCATGTTCGTCAAAAAGAAAGATGGGTCACTCCATATGTGCATTGACTATAGGGAGCTCAACATGGTTACCATCAAGAATAGGTAGCCACTACCTAGAATTGATGATATTTTCGATCAGCTACAAGGAGCAACATGGTTCTCTAAGATTGACCTGCGATTGGGTTATCATCAAATGCACGTCAAGGAAGAAGATATACACAAAACAGCCTTTAAAACAAGATATGGTCATTACAAATTCGTTTTAATGCCATTCGGACTCACAAACGCACCTGTCATGTTTATGGATTTAATGAATCAAGTTTGTCGGCCCATGCTTGACAAATTCGTTATCGCGTCCATCGATGACATCTTAATCTACTCAAAGACGAAGGAGGAGTATGGGAATCATCTACGAGAAGTTCTCGAGACCTTGAAGGAGGAACAGTTATACGCAAAGTTTTCAAAATACGACTTTTGGTTACGAGAAGTCCAATTCTTAGGACACCTTGTTAATCAAAATGGTATCATGGTTGACCTTGCAAAGATCGAAGTAGTAATGAAGTGGGAAATTCCAAAAATCCCCACTGAAATCAGAAGTTTCCTTGGTTTAGCCGGATACTACCGCCGATTTATACAAGATTTCTCAAAAATCTCATCGCCTTTGACAAAGTTGACTAAGAAGAATGTCCCTTTCAAATGGAACGATGAACAACAAACCGCTTCCGAGACACTTCGTCAAAAACTTTGTGAAGCACCAATATTGACACTACCCGAAGGGGTAAAAGGCATGACTGTTTACTGCAACGCATCAAATCAAGGTCTAGGAGCTGTACTAATGCAACGGGGAAAAGTGATAGCATACGCCTCAAGACAGCTAAAGACCCACGAGGTTAAATACCCAACACATGATTTGGAGTTGGAAGCATTAGTTTTCGAGCTAAAAATCTGGAGACACTATCTCTATGGAGTAAGGTGTACCATCTACACTGATCACAAGAGCTTGAAGTACTTCTTAGATCAGTAAAACCTCAACATGAGGCAACGAAGATAGTTAGATGTGGTGAAAGATTATGACTACGAGATTCTTTACCACCCCGATAAAGCAAATGTTGTGACCGACGCCCTAAGTCGGAAACCCAATCAAGAACCTCTCCCAATCTCTTGCATGAGAATAACTATAGTCGCACCACTTTTGGAGACGATCCGAAAGGAACAAGAGGAAGCCATCAAGCCTAAAAACCACAACAAAAAACGTATCAAGGGCCAAAGTACGAATCTCGTCAAAGATGGTCATGATCTTCTAACACGATATAACCGTATTTGGGTTCCCAAAGCAGGGGAAGCCCGACATACCCTATTAGACGAAGCTCACAAATCAAAGTTTTCCATACATCCCGGGGGTACCAAGATGTATAGAGGCTTGAAGGAAGACTATTGGTGGTCGGGTATGAAGAGAGATGTAGCAAGGTACGTGGAGAAATG